TTCTTCCGCCCCTTAGATGTGCTTTCTTTCATCTGATAGAAACAGTATAATTTTGCCATTACTTAGAGGAAAATATGCTTCCATGTCCTTTGAAAGTGTAAAACTATTAGGAGAGAATGAATATATCTTTGAACATATGGTAAGATGGGTCTTGGAAATATGAAAGTATTAACTGTGTTTTTCATTACAGCAAACTGTATTGCCTTGAAATAATGTGAAGCTTGACAGTTTTGCTTTGCAGGGGTCCATACAAATATTTTTTTGGTTTTGATACACTTAGAATAACAGCTGCTAATTTAAATTTGAGTTTTCTGTTGTCTCAGTAAAATTCTGTCAGAACTGCTGGATTTCCCTCAGTTTTACATACTGTCCATGAAAAACAGAAAAATTGGTATGCTACAAATGCATCGCATTTTCTCAGACTCAGAGATTCATGAGCTCTGAAGAATGTTTTTTTAAAAAGAAGAGTTTTACACTTTGGAAGTTGACTAAACGTTGAATAATAGTGTAGTTTAGCTTCCGAATATTATGTAGATTTTTGTTGTGAGGAAAGGTCAAGGTTGTAGAAAACACGGACATAAATTATTTCAAGATATGATTACAGTTAGCATGAATTTTCAAGAGTCTAGGTAACGTTAGGGACAAAAAGTCTTAGAAGGATAAAGTAAATAGCCAAATATGAATCATCAGAAAATAAATTAGGCAAGACAAGTTAGTTATATGCTTTAGACACCTTTAATTAAGGAATTCTAGGTAACTTACCCAGCCTACAGCATCATTGTCCTCATTAGTATACTGTCACCATCATCATCATCTCCATTCTACCTAACACCAAAGCCTAAGAGATTTGCCATCACACTATTGGGCATCCCATTTCTTTGATTCTTAGACTGCTTTGAGACATTGTAAATCTCAGGTGCTATTCCCCAAGGAGCCTATTTAAAAAGCAGAGCACAGGAGGGGTACTCTGCTGTTGGCAGCTCTTGTGGCTTACACAGATGGTCTACTGCATTCAGAGCCTACTGTGTCTTTTAAAAGTTGGTTCCATTCATACACACAGAAGATTAAAGTAAGAAATTGTCAGTCACAGATGTGCAGATTGTCAAGTTTGAGTGGCTTTTGAGTTTCCAGGTAGCAACTGCTCAGGTACCCAAAATCAAAGAAAAACTAATTGAAAGAGAATGTACCATGACCATGCAGATCCTAAAAAAAGAATTCTGATGAGTGAGGAGCAGAGACACCCTTATGTTGGAACAGACATGTCAGCCAGCCTGGGTCCACAAGCAGTGATCCAAGCTAATAATTGTCTCACAGGGTCTTTTTCACTGAGATGTGAGTGTGAAAACACATCTTGTGGTGTAAACTTATTCATTCTTCTGAATACTGCCTTATGAGTTCAACACCTTGTGCATGTGCTGCATATGAAGCGTTGACCTGTTGTAAAGTTCTTTTATGCTTTCCAACCATCCAGTAGTCTCAGTGTTCAGAGAGTTACCTGTGTTTACTATTATCAGTGCAGAAACACAAATGCGAATATAAAGGGCAGAGCTGCTCGGTTACATATATTAAAATTGTCAGTTCTAAGGATTATTCCCATTTAAACCTGCAAAAAGTTAAGACCATATCACAAGGTTTTGAAGTGCACCCCTTGCCCTGAATTAGTACTAGCTACACAGCTAGCAGTAATTTGTTTTCAGACAATCTGTTTTTTAACAATTTTTAGAAAGTAAGTCCTTTTCTGGAACAATTTCACAATGGGAAAAGATTCATGCATTCAATAAAATTGACATATATACACCAATTCCACTGGTACTTTTTCCAGAAAATAATTAAAATCTTTTGGTTTTATGTGGCTAGAGCAATCATATTGGTTTATTATGACACTTCTACTGTGAATTCTTTTCTGATGTCAGCTACAATACAACAGAAAGCGATAAGTTGAACACGAAGAGAATGTTGATGCCTTACTGAAACAGTATTTGTCTGAAGTGAACATATATTGGAATATTTATGAGGGGAGGAATTTGCCTTTTGTTTTATTTTATATTATCCCAATTTGAGGAGACAACTAGACCAAATTGTTTACAGGAAATTCTACTTGACCTGCTGTACTACTCAAGGAGTAAACAAAAGCTCTAAGGGAACGGTGACTGTGGAGGCAGTTTTTTCCCTCCTGTCTTTGTAATTTGTACCTAGCCATGTGTAACTCTACACATTATGGGCAATGTGTGATGTCAGCAGAAGCAGCTGCCTGATTAGGTCCTACCTATTGCAGAAACTGGGCCTTGGACTATGATTTGTTATCTTCAAAATGTTCCTAGTTTGGATATAACTCCAACTTCACTCTAACTTAAGAGGGTAAAGCTATGTTTCAAACCTACAGTGTCATCAGAGATATGTTTATCTCTCTTGGACTGATATAAAACCTTTCCAATGTCACCTGAGATAGAAAAAATGGATGAAGTGCCATGATTAAAGAAAACAAAAACCATAGAAACATAATTTGACTTACGAATTGGCATTTTGGATGCTGTTGCTTTAAATATGTGATGAATTCCCAGCTTGGCTCAGTAACAATACTTATTTTCTGAGAATTAAGACACAAGATGATACACTTAAAGTGGGAATTGAATAACTTTCTTCTTACTGTTTTAGCCTAACTTCCCAGAGCAGACAATTAGACCCACTGAGCCAAGCAGTACTGTTGCCTCTCTGCCTTCCCAGGTGTGCTTCAGTGAACCTCCTGGGACAGGAAACAGGGTTAAACCAGGCTCTGATCATTCTTTGCTCTCCTTCAATTTTCTACTTTGTAAGAGGGGAGTGAAGAAGCAATACAAGAAAGTACAGAGCCTCCTGGTAGTGTGCTGCTTTACATCAGCTCAGGGAGACTGCAGTCAGCTGGAGGTGGTTTCCAGCTACCTAGGGGGTTGTACTTTCAGGGAATGTGGTTCTGTTCCATGTAAAAAATGCTGACTGGGTCAGGGCTCAGACCCTGGTCTACAGCCACGAAAGGTGAAGACACACGACTAAGTTGCATACGTCCTGCTGAAGACTCTCTGGTGCTGTTTAAAGGGGCAAGTTAGGCAGATCAAGATGACATGGTGATGAGTTAAGGCATCAGTTTACCCTTGGAAAAGGCACGTGGAACCAGGCATCACAATTCATTGTTACGGTGTCATCAAAAAGTCCTTTTCCTCAGTGACTTCAGATGGCCTACACCTTGGGTGGGTACAGTAGTGTAACAGGGTGTTAGTACTACAGGATGAAAGGAATATCAGAATCACCACAGTCCCATGGTTCTGCTTGTGTTCTTGCTGAGTGCAGGTCATGCCAACCAGAATGAGAGGCATGAAATAAAAACAAGACAAACATCAGAGCTTCTTGTTGCCCTCGTGAGGTCTGCAACAAAATTTTCATTGATTTCAGCAGGGAATTTTTTTTGCATTTGGCTTGCACTAGCCACCAAAGAAATTGTGAAGTCAAAGACACTTCTCTCAGGCAGTTTGAGTGATGTCCATTATGTAAAAACTGGTCTTCATCCTCATGCTATTTTCCCAGTAAATTTTGGAGGTTTTACATTTGTTGTTTTTAGAAACACACTTTTTCAAAGAACCCTAAGAATTCATCTGCCATTTGTGTATTCATTCAGCCTTCTCTCTGTGAAAGTCTATTTGCCTTGAGAAAAGATGTGTAATGGTATTATACGGGATATAAAATTTCTCTCATAAATGTAATATGACTTAATAATTAATGAATGTCAGAAGACAAGCTGGAAAGCCTAAAGTCTAACTTCTATCTTACTTTCCATCATCTCAGACTTTCAAATAGGTCAGGGTTTATAACTAGGTAGATATTAAAAGTCCAATTCTTTTATATTGAAAACCTATTTCTCCCTTTATGTGCCTCTGCCCATATAACGTAGCATCATAATTAGGTAAATATAATGAAATTTATTTCCAATTTAATGTTCCTTAAAAATGTAAGAACGTCATACAGTATTACATGCATTACTCCAGAATCTTGTATATATAAATTAAAGTTAGGATAATAATAATAATAGTAATATTTATATATTAATTTAAATATGCCTTCATTATATATATTTTTTTTGCTAGCATATCTAGAGGAAGTGATTGTAAGCATTATCAAGAATACAACTATTTTTCTGGACAAGTAAATGTAAAGTTTCATCAAAAAATTGGTTTTGTTTGACAGAAACAGGATGTTTTCTTTTGATTAAGTGATTTTAGTGTATATTTTTAGTTAGGTTGACAAAATTATTTACATAAATGTGTTAAAATCCAGATGAAAAATATACTAATTGGATGGAAAGCAATCAATAGAATTTTACAGAATATAGGGCTGACATATGGTCTGAATAATTTTGCAATTTTCTGTGACTTCTTGAATATAAAAATTTCAAAATTATATTAAGGTATTAGACAGCACTTTAGAAGTGTTTACTTTCATAAAAGGGAGTCGGATGCCTGACAAGATTTTAAAGCCCATAATAGGGCTACTATACCTACTAGCAACTGCATTGAGAGTTGTGAAAACTGGCATAACAGGGTATTTTTTGTGCCTATATAATTGACAGATACATATCTTTTTCCATTTTCCTAGCATTAAGCTTTGCACTTCGCGTATATCAGCTTCTGCTCTGCTCCTACATATTTTACTTCTGTTCTCTTTCTTGGAACACTTCTTTGTTTGTTTTCCCTTTTCCTTCCCAGCTCTTTTTTATCTCCTCTTTTCTATGTGGAAAGAGAACATTTGTTGAGGAGACAACATACAATAAATGCTTCACTTAGGCAGAGGTCAGCAAAATTGCCAGTAATATCCCTGGTCAAAAAAATAAGCTGACACAATTCAGGCAGATTTGCAATTGATTCCATAACTTTGTCTTATCAAGATCCTATATAATGCAGCACTGAATTGCTAACTCATTTCTTGCAGAAGAACAAGGCAGTGGAAGATACAAAGTCATTGGAAGAGTACATAAAGAGCTTGAAGAATTAACTTCTGAATCCAGCAAACCAAAAAAGTAGAGAAAAAATATGACACCGATCTTCTAGCCTGATTTCAGTAAGGTGGTGTCATTAATACAATTCTGTTTACTAAGTTTAATTATTTTTCTTCTGAAGTTGGACTACTTCCAAATGCATACTTTAATTGTTATTCTCCTTGGAAAATGCAGTCCAAATCTTCCTTTTTGTTTAAATTCAAAGCCAAATAAATGTTTTTATATCCTTTTAAGACAGAATATTCATTGCAATTTTTAAAATAAAGATAACTAAATACATAGTTGTTATAAGTTTAGTAACAGTAGATTATCAAATATATTTACATACTTAGCAAGTCACTGGTTTAACAGACAGATTTCTTTCTTGGTGTTCTTTCAGGAGTCAAGGAGAAACAAACATTTGGGACCTATTTTGTTGTCCTCCTTTTGAATTATAAATCAGCAGTGGAAGTGGAAAGAATGCTGTAGTTCTTGCAGCGAAAGTCACTATTCAGATAAATTGAGAATAATTTGGTTTATTTTTAAAATACTGTCTAAAGTTTGGCATGGACATATTTATTCCAAATAAAGTGAAAATAAACCCAAGATCAAAAAATGTAAAATGATGCATGCAAACTATATTTAGAATAGTCCTAATGTAATTCTCAGTTGCTGGATTGATTTGATCTTCTTCAAAAAATGTAAAATGATGCATGCAAACTATATTTAGAATAGTCCTAATGTAATTCTCAGTTGCTGGATTGATTTGATCTTCTTATTGTGGGGAGAAATTGGACTCTGAGATATTATCAACAGCTTCTAACTCCAATTTGATTATTGCTATAATCCTGACAGTGATTGATTCTGAGTAATTATTTCAGAAGCAGAATTAGATTAAAAAACAATATTCCAGATTATTGAAGACTCCAGCCCATCCTTGTAATTAGTTCCGTCTTAGGATGTATGATGCTATCATATATGAATAATTCAGAGTGAGTTATTCACAAGCAGCCTATGCGACTACACTTTTATAGGAAAAACAGATAAACAAGAAAACATAATATTTCAAGAAACATTACATTGTAAATTAGCAGCCTCATTGCAGTAAAGTTTACTTTGCCAATGTTTTCGGTTTACCACGTAGCTCCTAAAATATTACTGGGTACTAAGTGAAAGCCCGGTGCTACAATAATCAGTGATCATGCAGTCATAATGGTGATTTATGATTACTCATGGTGTCATTATCATCATAATTATAGGCTATGAATTAATTTTTCACAATTGGCATCTGAATAATTTTCAACTGTAGGCCTTTCCTTTGTGAGAGGAATTACTTGGAGATAACGGCCATAATGAATGGACTCATGAGAATGAGCCCAACCAAAAAAACACGTTTAAAGTTCTTGAGCAATATTCACTTACTGTTTTCATTAATTTTGTTTACAGTAATGATGGTTTGGACTAAATGAAGCTTCACTGTGCTAAATACTTTAAAGAATATGTAGAATGAATGGTAGTTGTCCAAAACACAAGAGTAACAGGATCTTATCAGAAAATAAAGAAAGAAATATGTCTTACATATTGTAATTAGTGGAAACTAATGTCCGCATTTTTTTTCTCCCTTCTTTTTTTCCTTTCTCTCACCTGATTAATTGAAGGAGTGGACTCAAAATATTCCATAATACAGAATCATTTTGAAGATCATGATTCCTGTGACTTCCTTGGAGCCCAAGGTGGAGCGATCCACCCTGGAGAAACCTCTTTTCATCAGGTACGTTGGGATTTGAGAATAAGCATTTTTTTCTCCAGACACATTCAGTTGGGCTGATGTGTCAGGGTTTTGAATAAGACACAAGAAGAAAAGTTATTTCAGGGCTGTTCCAGCTAGATCCAGAGAGGTATTGAGTCAGAAGGAAAGGAAGACATTTAATTCTATGGTGAAAGAAGCAGAGTCAATAAGTCACTGCATCATATATGGAAAACTCTTATGTTTCCAAATATCCCAGGCTTTGATCCTGGGAAGATTTCAATCTTTCATCTTTTTGTCCTCATCTAAAGCTCAAGTCATGTTCTAAAGGAGAGTGATGTAGCGGAGGGTGGAATAGTTGTTGAGAAAAGTGTTGATCAATTTTGAGAAGTTGAACAAGGATAAATGAAATGAGAAAAAGGACATAGAACTAAAAAAAATTGATGGGAAACTGACTAAAACTTTTGACTTTTTAATTTCTTTTTGCAACTGTTTTCATCTCTTAAAGTGCCAAAACCTTATAATACATGTTATTTTAAACTATTAAGTGTACATGCAGTAAATTAATCTTGAATATGGGATGGCATCAGAAATTAATTCTATTAATCTAATTCTATTAATTCTATTAATCAGAAATTAATACAGTGGCCTTGGTGGTAACAGAAATTAATATGATTAAGAACAACTATGAATTTTAGTCTGTTACAAATCAACATAGCTCTGATGCCTAAGCATGGCACAAAATTTAAAAGTACAAAAAGATATGTCCTGTTTGAACAGTATAAGATTAATGAGCATTCCATGTGAATAGACACAGTCTAACAACAGTTACTTATTTTGCACCATGTTCACAGTTCTTTCTATCACTTGGAAATAAACAACATAATGCCAACACACAACAGGTGATGAAAACCTCAATCTCTTACAAAGCATGTATGGAAATTAGCACTTCTCTTGTATCTTTGACTTTCCCAAAGGGATTATATATACTTTAGCCTTTAGTAAAGACGATGATCTATTCCTGTTTCTTGAAAATTCTTTGGAATAAAAATGCACTAATGTACTTAGGACAGGCTCATGGAAGCAGTAGATATAGTTACTGGAAGAACTTTTTCATGAAACTCCAGATTAAAGTCTTCAGAACACGAGTAGATGTGCATTTGAACCTCCTCTTTTATTTTTTTTATGCACGAAAGTCCTCCTTTTTTTTTTCTTCTAAATATAGTAACATATTTTGATTTTTTACAGTACTTCAAACAGGTAGAGTTCTTGATAATAAATGCACTGAATAGTATTCTAATGAAAAAAAGATTTCTGTGGGTTGTAGATTGAACAACTATAACTTCTCTTAGCTTCTCTGACAATGCTGAAGGACAAAATCCAGTGGTCAGGTAATATTTTTTTAATCAGCACTAAACTGATGACCCCTGAGGTTTATGAAGTTGTATTACTCCACCACCACATTACTTTTTTCTTTTTAATCAGCAGTATTAACCGTATTAGTAATTTTGATTAAGACTATATCAAGAACAATTTTTGTATAAATAATATTGTTTAGACACAAGAGTAAAAGGGAGCAGTTTGGCTGCATATTTTCAGTGGAGAAATACTTTCCACATTCTAGGCTGTTTAAAATAATCTTATTCTTCTAGTGTATCACACTCTATATAGCTCTTACTTCTTGTTATTTAAGAGTATAGCAATTTAAACAACTCTTATTTCCTATATTTACTCTTTTCTTGTATTATTTCTAACAAGAAGGGGAAACCTTATGAGAAGCTGCTGAGATCTCTTGGTTTTTTCATCCTGAAGAAGAAGAGACTGAGTGGAGACCTCATTGCAGTCTTCAACATTCTCACGAGGGAAAATGAAGGGGCAAGTACTGATCTCTTCACTCTTGAGACCAGTGACAGGACTCAAGAAAACAGCATGAAGATGAGTTGAGGGAGGTTTAGGCTAGACATTAGGAAAAGGTTTTTCACCTAGATCATGTTTGGGCACTGGAACAGGCTCTCCAAGGAAGTGTTCACAGCACCGAGTCTGTCTGAGTTCAAGAAGCATTTGGACAATACTCTCAGGTACACGGTGTGATTCTTGGGATGTCCTATGCAGGGCTAAGTGTTGGACTCAATGATCCTTGTGGGTCCTTACCAAGTCAGGATATTCTATGCTTTATGATAAGAAGGTTTCTTTACATCATTAAGACAGAAAAAATAAATCCTCTGATAACAACCCTTTTACTGTCCTGAAACACTTTAAACTGCTTAACCTCCCACTCCTTTTCAAGTTTGCTGTTCCCAGATAAAAATGCTAGCCTGTTCAAAATGTTTATTTTTTAGTGAACATCAAACTAAACACCTGTAACTAGTCCCAAATTGTCTATTCTTTTATGTTGTTGAGTGTATAGAAACAAGAGAAAATTCTTTCAATTTTAAACCAGTATATCTTGATTTCTCCAAAGGAAAAAACCATGATTTTCTTATATATATTACTTTTCCTCATCTCTTACTTATAACAACACATACACTTTGACTAGCAATGTGACAATAATATTGCCTAGATAGTAAGTGAATCTCTGTCACTCTATAAAAGTTTTCTTATCTTTCTTAGCTTGTCTTCATTATAACTAAACCAAATTCACTCTCTTCCAAATGATTTCTTTTCTGCCAGTATTAAGGGAATGCCATTCAAATAAAAAGAAAAAAAGAAAAGGAAAAACAAAGAAGCTATAGAATATAAGTATTTAAATATGGTTAACATTTGTTTCCGTAATGTCATTTCAACAAATGTAGAGAAAATTTTCTCTGTTTTCAAAGCCAATCATATAAGAGGGACCTGAAGAAAAAAGAACCCTCCACATGCATCACAATTCTCTTCTTTCTGCAGCCATTTCTTACATGCTTAGGTGATACATCCATCCTCATTAGATATTGTTCTTTTTTACGGGCAGACTATCTTGAACAATCAACTACACTAGACCTTACACAGAATAAAAAATAACCTCCCTTTGTTCCTTTAGACCCTTATACACAGTCTCCTGTCCCTTCTTTGAATTAATATTGTCTTTTCTAAAATCACTAGATACTTTAGATTTAATTTCCTGTGCGTTCATATACACCAGAATACGTTAAATTACTTTCTTTTGGCGTAAAATAGTTCAGTTACAATACGTATACAGAGAGTAAGATGTGTTCTTGTCTCCTTAATCTACTTGTCCAATCAAACATTTTTCACACAATGAGTACCCTAAAATGTAAATATTCTATACAAAAAAATAGTATAATATTAATATTGTAACATCACTGTGAGAAAGTAGACATCTTTCTAGAACAGATATTAACTATTTGTAAATAAAAGTTTCTAAAATTATTTTCTGTATTAATACATATATGTGAAATTTAGCAGCCAAGTTCAGGAACAAAGGTCAATAAGCTGAAAACTTCAATGAACACCTGATAATCACTTATGATGAATCACAAAGGTGAAACTGAACTATAACACCTACATCTACTGAAAAAAACCCATTTGTCAGGAAATCACTCAAGTACATGTGTAGATATTAACCGCTTAGCATTACATATGCTTAGGTATTTAGCTTTAATTAAGGATTCATTTTAATGTATTTAAGGTAATTTATTTGCAGTCTCATCACAATTATTATAATTCATCATACTTTCATGCCTGGATATTTGACATGGCTAAACAGAACAACCAGTAAACAAATGAACAAATCAACATCTGAATAAGATGAATTTCAAGAAAATATGTACAACTCTTTCTCGTGTACATTTGGAATTACTTTTTATTTCCAAACCCAGAGCTGCTTGAAATGTCTTTCAGTCATTTTTCTGCCACTTATAATTTTTCTAAAACTTAACCTAATTCTTCTACACCTGTTTTCTTCTTTGTATGAGAGCTCTTATTACTGGGGATATTTTGTGGAAGTGTATTTCTTCTGCTTTTTGTATTCTGGGCATTGGAGTAGAAAATGGCTTTCAGTTTTGATCTCTACTCTGTCTCATCAATTGTAGACCCAGTCTTCCATAGGTTTCTAGTACATTTTATGTCATTCCTGGTTTCTAATTCAAATCTGTGGTAATAGTCTGTATTTTGCTAGAGCAAATAATCTGCATATAAAGCTAAGATTGCAATAGAAAATTTGTCTGAAGTTTCTCTTCACTCTCACAATCCAGGCTTTTATTGAAGAAAAAAATTTATAGGAAAAAGATTGTGTTTCTGTCTACATATAGTTGCATATCTTATATCAAATTAATTTTTTGGCATACACATGAATTTTAAATATGCAAGGTTTCACCTAGAGTCTTTCCTTCAACCTGCTTTAATGTCTAATTAGAATTCACATCAGGAAAGATGTACAATTTGTCCTTTTTGAGGGTGCTCATTTAGCATAAGTACAAGACTATCTCAAGTCACTGTATATATCCATTTTTATTCAGCAAAGTGTTTTTTGCATATTGCTACTAGTATACTGCTCCTGAAGAATACAGTGCAGAGATACCTCCAGTGAGCCATTTTTAAGTTAATTAGCATGGTACTGGGAGCTGTCTAGGCATGGTAGCAGGGAACACCACAGAGGCTAAATTATCCTTCTTCTGAGGCAGTTTTTCAGTAGATTAGATTTCACTTTAACTGAACTTCGTGCTATTGCAGCTACTTTGCTCCTGAATGTCTGAGTAAACCTGTGAAAATCTAGTTCAGATTTTTGTATTTTTTAATGTAGAGATGTTGAAAATGCCACTGACTAGCCCTTATTGATAGGACAAAATTTCTGTAGTCCCACACAAGTTTTATTCTGAAAATTTGAATAAAAAAATTAAACAAAAGGAAATACCAGCACCAAGTTAGTATTAAACATCCTATGATTTGCATCTGTCCTGGTGAAAACTCTGATGTTGTTTAACCTCAAACTTCTGTGAACTAAATGATATCTGATAATTTGAAAGGAACAGATTCTACTAGTAAATGAGAAATTAAGAATTGCCCCTGTACAGGTAAATTCTCTT